CATTCTCTATTGGTAATGCAATCTTTCTTCAGGGGTATATATAATATTATCTAGATTTGTATTGACTTTCATGAGATTCGTGATTAATATTTTAATGATCTCATTATACAGTAGTCATCCATCAATTGAAGAGAACTTATGGTAAAATTAATTGATCTAGCCAGATTGATTTGGTTTAAAATATAAACTTTAAACTTTCTATAAATGTAATTTGATTATATTTTTTCATCATTTATCAAATTATAGTTTTGAAAATAATAAAATAATAAGAAATTAGTATTATAATAAGCATAAGATAATAATTCAATTGAATTATTATAAATTTTTATGAAGTTTATCTATGCTTTAATACTTGATGTTATAATTTCTAAAAGTTTAGCATTATAAAATTTTTCTAAAACTAATATCTTCAATCCTTACTATCTTATTCATAATTAGCTAAATTGTAACACCCTTTTAATCATGCTCGAACATGCATTCTAAAATGGTTTCCTTAATTAGATGAAAATAATCAAAATGTATTAATCTCGTAACAATATATGCTTAATTTTGCTAGGAAAAAATGATGGAAGTTTTGTAAGAGATGCAATTTATACAATAAATAGATCATATGATTACGTATTTTATGTTTTAGGGTATGCTATATAATTAGATTTGATACAAAAACATGAATTAAATTCTATAAAAATTAGGTTTTGGGATTAAGATGTTAGATATTATTGATCAAAAAAATACTGAAAACAAAAATTTTTGATTGTAATTTAGTGTAGTTACGATTAAATTTCCATATTAACAAGTTGAATCATTTATAATACTGAGAATTTATTCATTAAAGTTAGAATTTATAAATATTTTATATAATAATGCAGACAATATCAATAAGCAAATAATTAAAACTAAACCAAAATGCAGGTTTAGATGCAATAAAAGTTGAAGATTATTATAAAATTAAATGATTTATTTATGAATTCATTTTTTAAGAACATAAGAATTCAAAGTTAATTCCAATTTTTTTTGTTACTAAATACAAATTTAATCCTCATTTTATAATTGTCATCAAAATCTTTGGTAATTAGATAGATAGTAAGAATATTCTTTTCTATTAGTTATTTAAAAAATTCATCAAATTATAGTTTCAAATTATATTATATAAAACTTCTAAAAATAAATTTTTCATTCATAATTTGTTTTAAAATAAAATAATATTATCAAAATTCCTGCTTGTTAATAATTTATACTTCTTTAGGCATAACTCTATTTTTTTCTACTTGTTATATTATAACTTCTACTGCTTTATCTATAATGATTAATTAATTATTAATAATTATCTAAATGTCCATTTTATGATTCATTTATTACTGTATCTTTAAAAAGATTTTGGTATTGATTTTCGGAAATGATCTTCCAAATTAGTATAATATGAATTTATAATTAAAAATAAAATTTAAAAGATAAATTTTTTTATTAAAATAATAATAATATATTTGAGCTATTTTCACTATTTTTCTTTTTTTAATTTTAACAAAAAAAATATTCCTTAATTTATTATACTAATTTTTAAATTAGACTTTGGTTCTAATTCAAGCATCATTAAATTTTTTTGAATGAATAATATACAAATCTATGTAAAAAGAATTTCTTCAATTAATATTAGTCTAAACAAGGCTTTGACTTTTGGTAGAGTAAATGCTAAATATACATCTTTCCTAGATAATTAATTTAATTTGATTTAAGAAAAATGAAATTATGAACCCTTTGTCTTTAATTCATTATATCCAAGCTGTTGTAATCAAAATTAAGTAAATATTTTTGATTTTGAAAATTTTTGGTAGATATATTATAATCTTTGGTATTAGTTAACCAATTCTTTTATAATATTTTACTATTTTTTGTTTATTTTCTATATTCTCTTCTAAATGATTTATAAAATACTTTTTAAATAATATAAAAATTGGCAAAAAAATTTGAAAAATAAATTTAGAGATCTTAATCTCAAATATATCTAATACTTGAATAGGAGTGATGGGTAATTTAACATTTCCAAATACTCTTTAAGACAAAAAAATAATCAGATTTATGGTTAATACATATATTTACTGTATAAAAGACTGCGAATATTGTAAAGATTTAATTTTTAAGGATTGATTAAAGCACATCTTTCAGACCTTTAATTTTCGAATCAACAGAAAATGAAATTTGTACTTTTCTATCATTATTGTACTAAAATATTCAATTAAATATTAATAATTAGGGATCACATATGAAGAAATAAAGGAGTTTTATATTTTATTATAAATTTGAATAGAAGCTGCCATAAAAAATCTTTTTTATAAGAGCTATCAATATCAGACCTTGAAGAAAATACTTGATTTGTTGGTTGCAAATATGTCGTTTTCTTTTCACTCTTTGATAGCTATTTCATTTGTCTAAAATAACTATAAGTTGAAAAATTATAATAATTGCATCAAAAAATTAATCATATCTATCCTTAATTACTACCATTAATTTATTGTTCTTCTCTGTTAAGAATAAATAAAATAATCTTAAAAATTATTAATGAAAATTCTCTCATAATATTGCTAAAATATGTTTATTTTATGTTAATTTATCATCTCATTCAAATCAATAAAATAAAAAATATGTTTATTTCATAATATTGTATCAAATTAATTTTAATTTCACATTAATAAAATCGACAGAAAAAAAATACCATTTTGTTAATTGACTATTAGAATGATATAAATCAACTTTATAGATTTCATGTTAGAATTACTAAATTTTAATTAAGAAGGAATAAATATTTTTGATTTTATCTGATATGAAATTTAGTATATTATAGAAAATAATATTAATTAAATTACAATGATATAAAATTGTGAATTGGTGTGTTTTCAAAATCATGACAAACCTGTCTGCTCAGTAATTGTAGAAAAATGGGTGAAGAAAGATGAAAGACTATTATGTAAAGAATGCCTGAAGAATTTTGACTAAAAAATTAACATCAAAG